GGAGCCGTTTTGCTGGATGACGCTGTGTACTTGCACAGAGGTGAATTCTCCACTTAAATTTTTCATTACGTATTTTATTACTTCCACATTATCATCTGAAGACGGGGGGGAGAAAGCGGTAAAAAAAAAAAGACGAAATTAAGTGGGCAACTGGGATGGGTACAGAAATGGAGTTTCGCATGTGAGCTAAAACGAGGGGGTGCAAAATTTAACCACCAAATGCAAATGCTATGTTCCACTGCCAATTTGTTTTCATTCGATAGGGGGACTTATCTCGCCCCTTCCACCACGTCCACCCCGTGTAGCCCTCTTTGGCCCTTTTCACATACCTGGGGTTGGCGGCTGAACTCCCGAGTCGTACACCTTCCACTTAACAGTCAAGTGGTCATCTTCAATAAAGGCAACAAATTTGAATGTCTTTCCCTCTTCGCATTTATTTTTTTCGTGTTCTCCTTTACCCATTTGCTCTGTGACTTCTAGGTCGCTCAAGTCAGTCCCCAGGTAAATGTTACTACTGTCCGCGTCCACATCGATGAAGAGATACGGGGCGAAGAAAACGAGGAAACTTGCGTTACAAGGTCCCGTCACCTTCACCCCTTTGTAGTCCTTCAGGAGAGACGACTTTACTTGGATATCCTCTGTGGCGCTGCTTATGTCTGAATTTTGATTCTAATTGGAGTTAGAATTGTTAGCAGCATTGTTGGAAGTTTCCACAGTGCCTCCTTGTGCTAGTTGGGAAGTCTCTACGGAATGTGTACTATCTGGCGAGGTTACGAGTTGGTCTTCTCCCGCTTTATCATTTGCATCCTGACTTAGGCCTGCTCCTGCTCCTTCACCTGAATTATCCTTCGTATTCGTGCATCTCACTACACAGTGCCTGCACACGACACCTGCGTAAAATTTTATTTACACGAATTATATCACACACCGAGCAAAGACATGCACTCAGTTGAGGACACTCTTTTAATTCCATCCACATCTAATCATTCAAGTGATGGAACAAGCGCTCATGTGCACTTCTTCTCCCTCTTCAGAGTGGAGTGCATCCATGCCTAAGTTGTCCACTTGGTGATTTTTCCTTTTTTTTTTTTGCCATTCATTATACATTTTTCCCCCCCCCCTTACATAAAATTAGGATTAAGGAAAGGCGAGCCTTCATTTCGTCCTAGTGGGTATATCTCCGGGGCAAGGGGAAGGAGCAAAGTGGATTGC